ATCGCTGTGTGTTTCATGAAATTTTTTTGCGAAACAATCTTTGAGAATTTTTCCATTCGTTCGTTGCATTTTTGAAGAGTTTCTACTAAAAAAAATTTCATCAAAAATAAATCCTCCCCAACAAAATAAAACTTCTATTACTATACGTCAGTCTCCATAAAAGTATATAATTATGTAACTTTTTTGGGGGATAGAAGTGATAAAGTTAGACTAAACACCCTGTATATACTTGAACAACGACGTGAATTTCACTTAACCTCGAATTTCTGGACGATAACGTACTCAAAATGGAAGAATGCATTTGGTCCTTAGAATAGGGACAGCTACTTAGGAAACTATGCTAAATTTCTTTCTATGGGATAGTACACTTGGAATTCTCCGGGGCTGTGTCCCAAACCACTTACCATGAAATTTCACGGTATTGCAATATTGCGTGGACTAAGCGTTTGCGATAGCTAGGAAGAAATTAATTCAATCTTGGTTCAATCTAAAATTAATTCGACCTTCGAGTAAGCTCTTTAAGAAGTAATACGAAGTCCTGATGACTTTCAAATTCGATTTTTTTTTATACCGGTTGCAAGAATTAGCAACTTTAGAGAGATTTATTAAATAACGAATCTTCGATATACCTTCGAACAGAAACGGACTTAAACAATTTTCTAACTTCTCAGATGTTCACGGTGTCACTTCGCTTCTTGCATTTTAGATTCCATGGAATATTGAAGAAATTTTTGACTCTAAAAAAATTTCAAACTACCTCCACGAAATTTTGCAGAAAGTTTCCAACAAACTTCTAACTATAACCAACTTCTGAATAGTTCACGATATCACTTCACACTTGAATTTCACATTCCACGGAATGTCGACAAATTTGCAACTTCAAAAAATTCCTCCAAAATTTCTCCAAAAGAGTATCTCAATGGAATTTTGCACAGTATTCGTCTCTCTTAATTGCCAGCAGAAACTCTTCACATAATCGAGGAAATTATTCGAAACCAGTAGCGGGTGTTGCGATCGTTTCGAGGTCAGATAAGAATTCCGTCGATTAGTTTTTCAAATTATTCTCCAACCAATCGCGACCCGGTGGATTCGCTGTTCCAGAAAAAGAGAAGGAAAGAAAGACAGGAGAGGTAGGAGAATTTTATGGTTTAAATGCGTCATCTTGAAGCTCGCGCGAAATATTCCCGAATGGCCGCGAGGAACGAAGGAAATTGCGAGAGCCGGGTTTCACGGCGATATACGGGCGGAGAAAAAGCGTAACTAGAGTGAAATTACCGCGAGGGGAAACAGAAAAGAAGCTATCTCCATTCCGTCGTTTGACTTCGTTCTTTTTGTTTTTCCCTCCTCCCTTTTCTCTACATGCTCGCGTGCTCGAGCACGCGTCAATCGGTAGTGCATTCGACGGAAACGCTCGGCGCTTATCGACGAGCTTGCCTTCTTCCCCTCGACAAACAGACCGCGCTTCATTTCTCATTCGATGTTTAACAGCACCCGTTACGCCGCTACGTAAACAATCGCAAAAAGGGACATGGTTCTGCAATTTCGCGCAATTAGACTACCTTTTTAAGGTTCTTATCCTATTTTCGCGTTTGTGACTTGTGGGATATTCTGAGGAAATTGATATAAAGTTGACGTAAAAGGATAATAACGATAGAAATGCGGAAATTTTTATTATAATTTGTTTATTTGTTTAGAAGTATTAGTGAGTTTAGGATTATTATGGTAAGTTATTAAAGTTTTAGTTTTACTCCTGAATTTTTGGAGAAGTTGACATAAAAAGGTGTAAAAGGATAATGATGATAGGAATATAGAAATTTTTATTGTATTTTCTGTTTTATTTGTTTAGAAGTAGGTTAGTGAGTTCAGAATAATTATGGCAAGTTATTGAAGCTTTAATTTTACTCCTGAATTTTACTTTGAATTTTTGGTGAAGTTTATATAAAAAGGTGTGAAAGGATAATCATGACAGGAATATGTAAATTTTGATTCTATTTTCTTCTTGTTTAGAAGTATTAATTATGAGTAAGTTATTAAAGATTTAATTTAATTTTTAATTTTTCTGTTATGTTGACATGAACTTGATTATGCCGGTCACTATTTAGAACAGTATAACTTTTTTTAAATATGACCAAACGACTTGAATTTTGTTAGTTTGAAGTTAGAAGGATTAGTTTACTGCATGGGTGACATCTCCAAAAAATTTGGAAAAAGTTGCAATTTGTGGGATCCGCGAAGAAAATTGTAAAGCTCACTTGTTACAATTTCTTTATCTGAGCTTGTAGTGTGAAAATTTAAAAAATACGTTTTATAGATTTACGTCAATTACATACTTGCTGAAAATTTCATCGAAATCGGTTAACGTTGCTATGAGCTGCAAACGGTTAAGTTTTTCACTGTAATAAATCTAAAGATCTTTACTTCTTTCGATGCCTGTTGCTTGTTTCTGCATGAACAGATTTCGATGAAATTTTCAGCATGTGTATAATTGACATAAATCTACAAAATGTATATTTCAAATTTTCACTCCAAGCTCAGATAAAAAAGTTGGACACGTCACCTGGTAAACTAATCCCTCTAACTTCTCAAAAAATCTCAAGTTGTTTGGTCCAATTTAAAACAAGTTACACTGTTCTGAATAGTAGCCGGATATTAATAATCACAACCGTATCTCGCAGAATAAATAAATTATTGCTTTAACGTGTGAAATTCACTTCAAACGAATTTCATCGCGAATTTGCTCGAGAACTTAATACATACCCCTTAATCCACCATTAAATACCGACACAAATACCTCTCTTCGTCTGTCCACAATCAAAGAAAAAAGAAAATCAAGTACAGCAGACAAATATCCCATAGCAGAAAAGAAGACTATATCACGGATTAAGGGAACGAGGCACGGAACGATCGGCGGCCGGAACATCGAGATAGGACACGGGGACAGAGAGAAGCGTAGGAGATTGATAATAGAGAAAGAGAGAGCGAGTGAGAGTGAGAGAGAGAGGAGAGAGTGGGAGATCAGGACAGGCCGAGAAAGTTTTCCAATTTGAGGCAATTAGTCTGCCCGTGCGGGGCTGGATGGCATGCATCCAGATAATCGAATATGGGTCACCGTCAGAAGTGGAATGGGTCGCGCTTTGGTCAGACCGAGAGTCTGACGACCGTAGCAAGAGCTGGGGAGAACCAGAGGCAACAGAGAGAGAGAGAGAGTAAGTGGGTGAGTGAGTGAGATAGCAGAGAATTTGACGTGCGCACGTGGACGGGGTTCGACTAGAAAGCCAGGCTCGAAGCAATAATTGTCCGACGGGGGAATCTCGAACTATTCGATACGCTTAGGGCATTAAAATTTGCATAGAGAAAAAAAGAGACACGACGAAGCACGGCGGAGCCTCTCCCTCTCTCTCGATGTCGGCTGTTTCGAGGCGGAAAAAAGTAATGAATATGGAAAGGAAAAGCGGTAATGCGGAAGATAAAGTGTTCCTCTCGTGAAATGAGAATTCAATTATGAGAACTGTGAGTGGTCCTCGGGACACGAGACACTCTATCCCGTACCGCTGAATTTTAAGCGATTTAACGATTGCCGTTTTCGATCTGATCTCCCTTGATATTTCCAGATTTCCCTGCAAATGCCTTTTCCCTCTTTTGTATATATATACATATATATGTGTGCCTGTGGGGGACATGTGCATACGCAGAAAAGTGTTAGGTTTTTTTTTATTGGATTTTGATGGAGGTTTTTATGACCGGCGTTATGTTTAGGAATCCTATCTCGCTTTTTCAGAAGGTTCGAAGTTTCATTCTGTTTGAAAACTATTCGGTTACTTGGCTCTTTCACCAAACCAGTTATCGAGTTTGAAATATAAACGTATCACGGTGCACCTTTCGAATTCAATTCTCCAGTCGTTTGATTAGTTTAATTTTTATCCTCCCTTGTAACTGTCGAACGTCCACGCGACATTGCGGGGCTTTCGGAAGGAAATATTTCTTTTTCGACTCGAGTCTCTTCTTCGACTAGCTTTCGATTCCGAATCACCCTTAACGATCGATCGATCGATCATTTCTGAACACCGAAGGGTAAGTTCCGATTGATCGATGCCCGCTGTTCCACGTGATGGAGCTTTAAAGTTTCTCGCGGCGTATCGAAACTTTGGAAGGATATGCGGGCCAGAGAACTGGTAAATACCCCGCGTTAGTTCACTGTACACCTTAAGAAACATATTTTGCTTCCTGATAAAACTAGCTCTGTGTACTTTCCAGCTTAACCCTTTCCTCACCAAAGGTGACTACAGTCGGCCAACGTTGAACGCTCGCTGTATACCAAAGGTGACTATAGTCAGCCAAAGTTGAACGCTCGCTGTGCACTAAACGTGACTATAGTCACCCGTAAAAATTTCGAGCATAGCATTTATAGCTTGATATTTACTTTTGTCGAATTGGTTTGGTTTACTATCTTAAGAACTGGGGAAATGACGATAAGAGAATCAGCGGTAGAGTAACTCTGCCGTAGCGAAAGGATTAAGGCCTTAAAACTAACGTTCTTTCAGAATTTTTTGTCAAGAAAGTATAAATATTATTGTATTTATAATTTTTTCACTAATTTCATCTTACGCTTGGCTGTGATATTTAATTTTTTTTATGTAAACATATTAATCATGTATAGAGTTACAGCAGCTAGTTCTAAATTCTTTATTTACTAAACAATTTTTACACGAAAGCAGAGAACAAATTAGTTTCTTAGAATATGTGAACAAATGCTGTTTCTGACGTCGCCGATTTCAAAAAAGCTGGTCTCTAGAGAAATCACAACGATTGAAAATTGAAGGAAAATTTTTTACGCGGTGAAAAAGTAACTACGAATCGTATAAAATCATTCGTTAGTCAGTGTGTAAAACGGAGAAAGTAGCTGAAGCGTAGCTCAGAATATTTATTCCCTTTAATTTTTACTTGGACGAATAGATCGAGCACCGAGCATTTTAATAATAATTTGTTTCATTGTTTCGCAGAATCCGAGGCCAGTTGGGATGACTGGTGGACCTACGACGGAATTTCAGGTAAGTTCTTAATCCACGTAATTCCCACGGTAATCCTACTAACAAGGGAAGATTCTCGAGGTACAAACTCATAAAACTCATAAAAAGGAATAAATAGAAAAATGTTGAATTTTGTCTAAGAAGAAAGAATGTAAAATCAAATGCTGCGCTATGTTTAAACGACGAAAAACAGAAATTTTCCGGGGAAGTTTTAAATTGAACGAGAATTTCTTTCCCCCGGCTGAATTTTCCACCTGAAATAAGTATAATCAACGCTATTATCTTTAAACGACGAGGAAAAATGGAAATCAGAAGGAAATTTAGAATCCGTAGTTCGATAAGAGAATAAAAAGTAGATTTCCCCCCCGTTTTACGAGTAATTCTGCGTTGCTGACTCGGTTCATTTCGAAAAATCAGATTTACCAAAGGAATCTCCATCAATTTTCCGAGTTGCCGGACAAAGTAATCGCCTGTGTAATTGCGAATCGATACCGATACCCCGGAGCTGCTCTGCTGCTCAGAAAGAGAAATTAATCGGGACGAATTAATTTCCATTAATATTCGAGGATTTCACGATCGATTGCGTCAAGTTCGCCGAGCAATTCGCTGTGTCTTTCGCGAGAGCGAGCGAGCGAGCCAGGGAAACTCGCTGGAATAATGAAATATCGGAAAGACTACGCTTTGGAAATCACTCTTTCTCGCGTTGTCTACGTTACTCCGGCTAATATTGAAAAAGTTCCCTGACGAGTTGACAGTCCCAGACCGTATTAAGGTGATGTGTTGCGATAAATTGATGGCGTGGAAGCTTGCACGTGAAATTGGCGAAGATAACGTTGCTGAACTTCGTCTTCCTCAGTGTTCAACCGTTCCTTAACCCTTTCACTTCACGTTACACCGTTAAGTTTGGAGATGAGCAATTATTATTAATTTAGAAACATTTGACCATGAAGAGCTTCAGGTGTCTGAAGAGGAGTGAAGGCCTAATTGCCTCGACTTTCTGTCGTATGAACTTTTGAACGAAAAGACTTCTCAGCTAATCCAGTACTATCTACCCGAAATCAGTTTGAAAAGTACTTCAAAGCCTACACGATCTAATCAACTTACGACGAAAGAAAAATCAATCGTGTTGCATTATGGTCGACGCTTATCATTTTCGAAGCCAGCGCGAAACTTGTAGGTTTAAGCCATCGGAGACAAGAGAAAGGTTGATCAGTTTCCGTGATGCACGGGGCCGTTGACTCCCTAATTTTCTTAATTTTAAGTTACGAGGCCATCGAGTGGCTCGTGGCGCCTGCACGAATTTTTTAATCTCGCCACACCGTGGAGTTTTTATTAAAAATAAGACGGCCACCCGATAGGGTCGTGCGAGGCTCGAGTTTAGTGTTGTTCCGCCATGTGAGCCAGCTGCCACAAGAGAAACAGTGCCGTATACTCCGGGTTAAGGGGCCGTCCGTATAAAGCGCCTCCTTCTCCGCTTCCACCCCTCCGCTCACGCCACGCTGTGGAAAATTTTCGTTTCGCTTCCCGCTCGAATTCCTTTTTATCGCGCGAACTTTCCCACGGCAACGTTCGTCTCGCCTGTATAGATGTATATATTTAAGAATCTCATTTTCGCGAAAATACGGCCGAAACGTGCGGAAACTTTGGGCCAAACGGACCCCACTTTACACCACTGTTCCCCCCCGTTTTCTTTGCTGTATTGCACTTTTTTATATTTTCCCGAATTATTGGTTTACGCTTTAATCAGAATTTTTCTGGAGTTCGGTTTGTTCTCTTTCGACAGGTGTTACCGTGTTCGGTTTCTTGCGGAAACTTGAAATTAATTTTCTGGAAAATATTCGAGCAATATTTGACTCGTTGTGTAGTGAAATGCGGTGTAAATTGAGACTGTAGTTGTTCTAATAAATTCGCTGTTTCGGCACATTTTGTGAGACAGGTGATTTACGCGCAATTCGTGA